AACCACAGAAATGCCCGTGAACTGGGAATTCTTTCATGCCTGGCTTTGTCCAAGTGTCTGTATGGGAAGATTTGGTGTCTGGCTCCTCTTTTTCTTCCTATTTTTTCCCCCTGAAATGGTGTATTTCCTGCAAACTTGCAGCTGGCAGTGGCCCAGCTCACGGGCTTCAGTCGTGGTCAGTTAGGAGGTATCTGCTGAGCTTGTGAGAGGGACAGGAGGGACAAACACATCCTTAAAAATAACTGTCTCCTCCATCAACACTTCTCCCCCAGACTGGAAGTCTGACATCCATCCGGCAGCGCCTCTGCTCCGGGGCTCCCTGTCCTCCCTCGCAGGACAGGGACCTTCCATTGTCCCAGCGCTGGTGACAACGAGGACGAGATGTCCCCTCCCTAATGAGACCTGACAAATGGGCAACTGGGCTCTGCTCGGGGCCTCCAATGGTTCATTTCCAGAGCGCTGTGTCGGGGCAAAGGGCAGGAAGGAGTAATCCCGGGATGGGGATGCCTTTCCGACTGAAAGGTGCTGGGGAAAGCTGGAAAGATGGAGTTTGAACCAGGATTTCTGTGTCAGCGCCCAGGACCTTTCACAAACAGACTGTATGATCTAAATATCATGTGATGTGGCCCCAAACTGCAGCCCGGTGGCGGATTCAGAGCAGGTTCCATTAGGCTGGGAAAGGAGCCTGGAAAGGAACCGGGTTAATCCAGAAGGAAAAAATCTGTGCCCGTACCCTGGAGAGGTTCTGCCAGCAGAGGTTTAGCCCTGGGGTAGCTGATCCAGCACCAATAACTCCATGAAAAACTAGTTTTTTCTGTGAAGTTTGGCACTTTCGGTGAAAGTCATGAACCAGAAGGAGCAGAAGAAAAAGTCTTTGTGCTTTTGGTGAGGCTTCTTAGGGCTTTGGGCACCCCCAAAACTCTCCCTGGGCACCTCCAAAGCTCTCTCAGATACCCCAAAACACACCCAGATACCCACAAAACCTCCCTGGTGACCCCCCAAACCCTCCCAGGTGCCCCAAAACCTCCCTGGTCACCCCTAAAACAAACCCAGGTGCCCCCAAAACCCTCCTAGAGGCTTCCTGAGGAGAATCCAGCATTGCAGGAAAAATATCATTTAGGATCATTTTGGGAACTAAATCTATTTTTTTGGGGTCAAATGTCTGCAGGTTTTAAGATAGTACATCCATATATGTATCTCTATATACATTTATCTATATATATTATATTATCTAGTCCTCTAAAAGCAATTAGATTTTTAGTTTTATGCATAGGTGTAAAAAAACCAAGGAGGATGAGTGTGCTGAACAGTAATTATTGAATATTTTTTTTATATTTTATAGTTGCTTTTATTAAAAACATTCCTGCTGTTCCACTCTCTGTGAAATGTCGTTATCGCCTTAAGCATCAATGAACATTTTCTCGGGTGGATGTCACATGTTTATACCTGTGTTTTGCCCCTCATGAAAGAGAGAACTGTGTGAACCCATGTGTTTATGCTCAAAATATTTATGAAATGTTGAATATTTGGGTTTCTGACAGCAGTTAATGCAGAAATACCTATTTTTATACTACCTGTGTTTGTGGAATGAGCAGGGGGGACGTGCCCTCTGTGGCAGGTGTTTTGTCACTAAAGACTTTCTACTTCACCAAGTGCCATAATTCAAAATATTGGCCCTGCTGGCCTTGCCCTGGATCATTTTGTAACCCACAGAGTTTTTAACTTGAACTCTCTGCCTGCAATTAAATGTTCCAGACATACAAAATAGAGATGGGAAGTGAATTCTCCGTACTCATTCACGGTTCTTTCTCATTAGAAGCGGTGTCGGCAATTAAGCTCTTTGCAATTACGAGAGGCACGATGTGAGCATTTTTAGAGAGCAGCTGGAGGATTTCTGCCACCCTTTCAGGCAGGACTAACAGCCACTTGTCCTCTGAATCTGATGAGTAGGCAAGTGCTAACAGGGTTTGGAGACGGGCTGAATCAGCAATCGGTGCCACAAAAGGGAGCGTGTGCGAGAGAGGGAGAACCGGTGTCCTCCACTGGAAGGCTTTGATCAGCACTGCAAAGACAAAAGCTTTTTGTGGTTGGGATGAGCAAACTCAACAAATTCTTGTCTTGTTGCACTTGGGAGGAATTCACGCCGTTGTTTTAACCTTGTTACGTTCGAACTTAAAATATTGGTTAAGATATTACGGTTGGACTCGATGATGTTGGAGGTCTTTTCCAACCTTAATGATTCTGTGGCTCTGTTTGTCCTTTATGTTGGTACCATATGTTAATCACTGATTGCTGATTAGCACTGAGCTGTGATGAGCTCCTCTCTTTGGGATGTGAATCCCAGTTTTTTGGGGCTGTAGCTCAGGGTTGCGGCTGCAACCACACGAACCCACGGTTTCACTGCAAACTGCTGATGTCTGGAAAGGAGTAGTAGGGCTTGTAAAATCTGCCTTGAGTTGTTTGGGATAAAAAAAGAATCCCAAAATCCCTCTCCCCTCCAAACCTTTGTTATCTTAAGGGTATGAATACTGAGCAAATTCCATGTGTTGGGTTGAGTGGCTCTGGTTGAGCTACGAGCAGAGAGGCTGATTTGTGTGTGATGACGGAGGGACTGGGCTCAGGAGCCCAAAAACATCTTGTTTCCATGCTGAGTATCCATGTGACTTGTGTTATGCACAGATCCATGTTCTGGAAGTGAAATCTCCTGGAGTGGAACATGTCTACCCAGCACTGCTGCTTGTACAGCTGATGGCTCCTGTTGTCCTCAGCTCAGGGGCATCGGGGCGATGTCAGCATTTGGCCAGCTCAGCTCCAGATCCATTTGGATCCATGAGGAACTCAAAAACTCAGGACTATTCAGTCCCAAATCCATGCACATACCTCCCTCACCCAGGTGGGTTCCAAATGGATTTGCTGTGAGCTTTCCCTCCAAACCCCACGTGGAGCTGCTGGACCCATTCCTTTCATCTTCCACAGGGCTGGGAGAGGTCTGTTTTACTTCCTGTCTGCTTCCAATCAGGCTTTCATTTTCCCCTGCCTGATAGGCATCTGTGGAGTAAACCCAGGGAAAACTGGCATTTCCTTCTCAGAAGGTTAAAACAACAACATTTAATGCACCGTGTTGTGTGTTATCTGTTCCCCTCACTATTTTTATGGATTTCACTGTGTTTTAATAAAAGAGCTGTTTGCACACCAGAGCAAGGACAATGACAACCCCCTCGATGGCCTTTGTGCTGCTGGACCTGTGTGGTCTCTGCTGTGAGACAAACATTTGGAGGCAGAGGTGGAAGGTCCCCACCCCTGGCACATCTTTCCTGAAAAACAACCAACACAAAATATTTGTTAAATAACAGTTAGCACATATTCAAAGGTGCTTGGGAAATATCTGGGTTTTGCAGATCTCTTGGTCAATCTGGGTGGGAGAAGAAAAATCCCAACCCTGTGTGTTGTGGATGGATTCCAGGGGAAACCAGTGGCTCCTGCCTGGCTCGGCAGCCACGTCCTCCTGGGATTTTCCTGTCCCGTTCGGTTCTTGAGGCACTGTCATAATTTGTAGGGACTTGTAATAATATGAGCCACGTATTTAATGATGTATTAGCATTGTCTGCTCCTGGATGGCTCCCCACAGCTTGGATGCAGGGATTGGGATGCTCCTGAAAGCTGTTTTGGGGGTGGTTTCACATCAGTCAGGAACATGGGAAAAAATATGTTGCGTTGTGGGTCAACGGCATCACAGAGGGAATAGGATCCTTTGGAGCACGGATGAGGAGAAAACAGTGGTCACTTTATGTTATGAACAGCAGCCAGGTGAAGGCAGAGCCCACCTGCAGCAGCTGGAGCTCCTCAGCTTCCCTGAGATATGTGGGAAGTGATGTGGAGCTCCTGGTTTGTACACTGATGGAGGGTGTGAGCCTGGGCTGGGGCTGGAGTTGTGGGGTGGAGTTGGGTTGGAGAGTGGCTGGGGGAGACCCACCACTGCTCTCCCAGATATCCCAATGGATCTCCAACTACTGTTTCCTTTCTTCCTGGTCTAATCCTGCAGTTTTCCATTACTGTCTAACAGCTGTTAAATCCTGTCACAGCACAGTCTCTCATGACTTTATCAACATCCTACTGAGGCTTTTGCTAACTAGTCTCTGACTGTTTAAGTTCTAAACAGTGACAAAGTCGACCACCTTTGTCCTTGGCTCCTGTTTGCAGCTCTCCAGCCAGGAGAGGGTTTGTCCACGTCCTTTTCCCAGGCAGTGCCAGGGATGTCTATGCCAAATTATTTTTTACAAATTTATAACTTGTTCATGTAACTTAATTAATTTTATTTCTTTATTTTAATTTAATTCATTTCTTTATTTTAATTTAATTTAAATTTAATTAATTTAAATGAATTTATTATGATTTATGAACACCACTGCTTGACCCATGGGAGGGCAGTGGAAGGCTCAGGGGAGCATCCAAAAGAGGGCAATGAGGATGGGGAAGAGCCTTGATTTGAAGCCGTGTGAGGACTATGAGGGCATTTGGTGTGTTCAGCTGGAGAAGAGGAGACTGAGGGGAGACCTCAGTGCAGTTCCACCTTCCTGGGCAGGGGCAGAGGAGGGGCAGGGACTGAGCTCTGCTCTCTGTGAGCAGGGACAGCACCCAGGGAATGGCTGGAGCTGTGCCAGGACAGGGTCAGGTTGGATCTCAGGACAAGGTTCTTCCCCCAGAGGCTGGTTGGGCACTGACCAGGCTCCCCAGGGCAGTGGGCACAGCCCCAAGGCTGCCAGAGCTCAGGGAGGGTTCGGATGATCCCCTGGGGCACAGGGGGTGACTCTTGGGTCTGTCCTGTGCAGGGCTGAGGGTTGGACTGGATGGTCCTTGTGGGTCCCTCCCAGCTCAGCACATTCTGGGATTCCGTGACCGTGTGGCTGTGCCTTTGTCGAGGTCACGTTGCTGGGGCTGAGGTGGTGGCCCTGCTCCTGGTGACTCTGCTGTGCTCACCCCTGCTCTCTGCTCTTGCCCAGGGGAGGTGTTTCGGCCGCCGCATGAGCACGTCCTCGCCGGGCCATGGCCCCGCCGCCCGCGCCGGCCTGGCTGCTGCTGCTCGGCCTGCTCAGCGCCCACGGCCGCGACTTCACCCGCAAGGACATCGTCTACCTCCACCCCTCCAGTAAGTCACCTCCAGGGGGGAGTGAGGGCAGGGACAAGGGCAAACACACGTCAGGGTGGAGCTGAGAGCAGAGCGAAGGGTAAACGCACGTCCCCACACTCATGGAGCCGAGTTGGTGTGCAAGAACAACCAAGTTCTCTGGACCCACCTCAGAGTTTTTCCTTCTGAATTAACCCAGCAACCTGGGCGAGTGGAAGGTGTCCCTGCCCGTGGCAGGGGCTGGAACAAAATGATCCCTTATTTCCCTTCTGACCCAAACCATTCTATGATTCTACGTAAAACCAGACCGGGGTTTATAGGACAGGTTGGGGTCACAGGCAGCTGCTGGGCATGTCAGGAGCCTTTAGTTTGCTATTTTCTGTCCCTCAATAATCTCCCTGGCCAGGAGACCATGGCCACATGGACCCTGAGCACACGGACAGCTGAGAGCAAGGGCCAAACACCACCATTAGCAGCTGTGGCACCAGCAGCTCCTGGCTTGATCTCAGCGACTCCTGGAGCAATGCTGTACCAGAGTTGGACATCTTTAGCTCTTCCCTGGACTCTCACTAGTCTGTTCACTTTATCAGACACAAACTTAGTGAATTGCATGAGAAGAGGGTGCTTCTGGAGATGTTCCAGCCATCTCTTCCCAGAGAAAACTCACCACTTCCTGCATTTGGCTGGAAAATTTATATTCTGCACAAGCAGGATGAAACTCCAGTTTTACACCATAACCACAACCAGCAGTCCAGAGTGACGGTGATAAATTTAGTCTGTGCTGATGTGTTTTCCCACCCCAAGCTGTTCCTTGAGGGCAGCACCAGCCCCACCAGAGATGCTCCCAGGTGACTCTGGCCCAGAGCTGAGGGACAAGGGAAAGAGATGAAGAGGAGGGAGGGTTAAGATGTGATCCGTGGGGCTGTGAAGGTTCAGTTTACTTCACCCCATGAAGATAAACATGACCTGTTCACCGTTTGGCTTCTGAGAAGGTGGCAGCACCTTGGAGAAGCATTGGAGGTGCTCCAGAAGTGCTGCCAGGAGAGCACTTAAGGAATTATGCTCTTTGTTTGGCAAGAGAAATTAGGACAGAGGCTGCTGGTGAAAGCTGGAGGTTCAGCACAGTGATTTTTCTTCCCTTTGGGAACATCAGCCTTCAACAGGAGCAGCTCTTTTCCTCGGTGGGAAATTTTCCAGAGTATTTTAATCCATCTGATATTTTGTTATCAGCACCCATAAAGCAGCAGTGTTGGATGTGAGCTCTGATTCCAGGGGAATAAGTGTTCCTTGCTCACTTTAACTCCCTTTGAAGTCAGTCTGCTGGGTAAAACCACATCTGAAACGAGTCCCTATGTACCTAAAAGTGCCTCTGCATATACATATAAGTGACAGGGTTTTCCAAATCAGGCCCAACCTGCCGAAGCTCACAGGTGTGTATTTGTAGAAAAACAGATCTGAAGAGAACAAACGTTGCTGTGTGCCCGTGAAAAGCACCATGGAAGCAGATTACCAGGCTCATTTTAACTCCGTGTTATCCATTCCTTCCAGCCACGCCGTATCCTCGGGGATTTAAGTGTTTCACCTGCGAAAGGGCCGCGGATAATTACGAGTGCAACCGCTGGGCTCCGGACGTCTACTGTCCCAGAGGTAACGTTAATTAGTGTTTAATTAAACCCACCTTCCCACTGCTGCTCCCTGTTCCTGCCACGGGCCACGCTGAGCCCCCGGTATTCCCAGATCTGGTGGTTCTGCTCCTTTTGCCTGTGAAGTCTCCCCAGTAAAGGAAGAGGTGTAAGCGATAGGAGTAATCCTTTAAGCTTTTCTGTCTCTGTGCTGGATGAAGTTTAGGACTTTCATCTCTTCCCTGCACTCCTCTGGTTCAGCTGGGGATTAAATCAGGGGGATGTTTATTTTATAGAGTCCTGGAATCGTGGAATGGTTTGGGTTCAAAGGGACTTAAAGCCCATCTTGTTCCAATCAGGGACACTTTCCACAGGACCAGGTTGCTCAGAGTTCAGTCCAACCTGGCCTTGGACACTTCCAGGGATCCAGGGGCAGCCACAGCTTCTCTGGGCAACATGAGCCAGGGCCTCCCCACCCTCACAGGGGTGTATTTTTAAAGGTTGTGTTTCACTTACTGGGGAGTACAGGCCTGGTTCTGCCTTTGTTCACTTCCCTCTCCTTGGGCACGAGCCCACGCTCAGGGCAGCTGAGGCTGGAATTTTGGTATTTTCAGTGGTTTGATCTCATAACTCCCCTTGGAGTCTGACTTTTGGAACAGCTCAGGAAAACCTTTGGAATACAGGCACTCAAATATCATACACAGGCACTGGTGAGATCCCCAGACCTCCCCTTCCCTTCCCACACTTTTGAGACACAAGACATTAAGATTATCCAACCTATGATGCCCCTTTAGTTGGGTTGGGTCTGTTTTGGGACCAGTGCCCTCAGAAAATATTTACTTTGGAAGGAGGGAGGCCCTGACCTGCCCGGTGTGGGGACACAGATATGTTTGCAGCACGTTATCTGTCCCAGAATTGGTTTCCTTTCAGCTGAAATCAGCACAGCAACAACAACAATAAAAGAGCTCAGGCTGCCTGGCATGGGATGAGACAAATATTCCCAGACACTCCCTGTTTTGACAGGAGAAGGGGGTATTTAGGTGGCTGTGTGCAAGGAGAAAGGAGTGACTTGCAGGGTCTGCCTTTAGAAAGAACCAGCAGGAATGACTTGAGCAAACCCAGTTCTGATCTGGAAAGTGAAATCAGTGACAAATGGTGGTTTAAGGGAGAGGAAAACTGTGCTTTGGTGTGTCCAGAGCATCCCCATTACTTAGAAGCATCAACTTTCACACTGCAATGTTTGATTTTAATTGCTCTAAATTTCTCTTGTTATTTTTGGTAAAAGTTTTGGATCCATGGTTTTCACAAGCTCAGCCTGGAGTTCCTCCTCCATCCCTCTGGGCAGGAGGGCTTGATGTTCCCCTCCTTTACTTTGCTCTGGGCTCTCCCAGTGTTCTCTGGCTCAATCCTTACACTTGGAATGCCTGGAGAAGAGAGGAAAAGTTAATTTTCATTGGAATGAGCGGATTTTATGGCTTACTGTGGATTTGTGTGGAGCCTTGCAGGAGGTGACAGCCTCTCCTGTGCCTGGTGTTCTGTGCCAGGAAAATCTGTATCTCCAAGATGATTGCACAATATTTTCTAGAGGAAAGGAAGGAAGAAAGAATGAAACAGCCTTAAAAGAGTTGTTGAGAGAGGGTGTTGGAAGCTTTATTTGTTCCATCTGGGACTGGTCAGGGGGAAACTCCGCTGCCAGAGCAGGGATGAGAAAGCTCAGAATTGCTGGGAATGGCACTTCCAGGGAAAGTCCTGGGAGGAGCTCACAGCTGGGGCACAGAGGGTGCTCTCCTTGGGGTAAAACTCTGAGTTTTAGGGCAGGAGAGGCTGGAAAACACATCAAAAGCCCTGGGAATGAAGGCAAACAGCACACGGAGAGACTCCATCCCCCGGTGATAAGTTAAGTCTGTTCTGTGATATCACACTTGAGTCAAGAGCAGGTCAGAGATATGACAGATATCTGGGGGGTTTTATTGCCTAAAGAATGACATGTTCAGTCCACAAGCTCGCTGGGATGTTGCTGAATGCCTAAAACACGAGAGGAATGCAGGGTTTGCCCACTGGGAACCAGGGCTGGGCAGGAATGGGGGCTTTAAATGCACCACACTCCTCCTTTTCCCCCCTTTGGAAACAACAGTTTTATTCACAAAAAGATGGATTAATTAAAGAAATGTATAATTTAGAGGATAAATATATAATGGTGTGTTTTTTGTGTTGAAAATCCAGTGTTTTCAGCTTGGAGTGCTTGGAAGAAGGGGAGCAGCAACTTCAGCTTCTCTTTAATGACTAAAGCAGGAATTCCTAATGCTTGGGAATGACCACAGCATTTGTCAGTCATTCTGCTGGGAATTTTGGGTGTGGTTTACAGATGTCACTGGAGAAATGGCTTAAAAAAGGAGGAGGAAAGAGGATGGTCCCCGTTGGGGACGAGCAGAAGGTGCAGTGGGAATAGCAGGAATACCAGCCCATGCCATGGTGCTTTTTCCAAAACCTGGAAAAACTGAGAAATACATAAATCCACCTTGAGTGTTCTATAGGTATTCTGACATTATTTTATATATGATAAAAGTGAAGGACAGAGAAGGTGAAAGATCTTCTCCAGGCTGTGCAGGAGCACAAGGACAACTTGCCCAGGTTTTTAGGATATAGGGAAAAGTGTCTCCACCCTAATTCCACAGAACTAATGATGCTGCATGAAACCAGGAAAAAAAATCATATATATATATATATATAAAAAAGATATTATCTAAAAGTATCTATTTTATGTTGTACATTGTATATATTTATATATTAAATCTTTTCACCTAAATGAAAATAAGCTTCAGACTTAAAGAGGTATTGGGAATATTTTCATTTTTAAAGGCTTCTTTCCTATTTCTTCCTCTTTGCAGCCTATCAGAAATCTGGAATTTGACAGATAAACACATTTTTTCGGTTTGTTTTTTTTTTTTTAGGTACAAGGTACTGCTTTAGCCAACATATGATGAAAGTCACTGGGGAGAGTGTGTCTGTCACCAAACGCTGTGTGCCACTGGAGGACTGTCTGTCCACAGGATGCACGTATATAAAGCATGAAGAGTACAAGGTATGGCAGAAAAACCTGCTTTTTTATTCCATGTAATAACTGGGAATTGGGGTCTGACAGAAGCCTGACTGGTTCCATGGCCAAGGGCATCCTGGCCTGGATCAGGAATAGCGTGGCAGCAGGACCAGGGAAGGGATTCTGCCCCTGGAATGGGCACCGGTGAGGGGCACTCGAGTGCTGTGTCCAGTTCTGGGCCCCTCAGTTTAGGAAGGATATTGAGGGGCTGGAGCAGGTCCAGGGAAGGGGCTGGAGCAGCAGGAGGGGCTGAGGGAGCTGGGGGGGCTCAGCCTGGAGAAAAGGAGGCTTGGGGGGGACCTTCTGGCTCTGCAACCCCCTGACAGGAGGGGGGAGCTGGGGAGGTCGGGCTCTGCTCCCAGGGAACCAGGAATAGGATAAGAGGGCACAGTCTCCAGCTGTGCCAGGAGAGGTTTAGGTTGGACATCAGGAAGAAATTCTTTGCAGAGAGAGTGCTCATACCTTGGAATGGGCTGCCCAGGGAGGGGGTGGAGTCCCTATCCCTGGAGGTGTTTAAGGACAGACTGGATGTGGCATCAGTGCCATGGGCTGGGTGACAAGGTGGGGTTGGGTCATGGGTTGGACTCGATGATCTCAGAGGTCTTTTCCAACCCAGTTGATTCTGTGATTCTGTAAATCAGCATTGTCAGAAACGAAGTTTCTCTTGGGAAAGATAAAAAAGGAGGGGCGAAAAAAAAGGAGAAAAAATTGGTCTGCGAGTAGATGAATTAAAAAAAGAAGGGAGGGGGAGGGAAAAAATGGGGAAAATCGTCAAACTGGCCACTGTGCTCCTTTACAAATATCATATTATATTTCTGGTGGTTTTATTCACCAAAAAACCAAGTTGTGACCTGTTCCCTCCAGGTGTGCACGTCCTGCTGCGAGGGCAGCATCTGCAACCTGCCCCTGCCCAAGAACTCCACAGACGCCGTGTTCACCACCCTGTCCCCCCTCAACAAGGCCCAGAGACTGTGCCCTCCTGTCCTGCTGACCACAGTGTGCCTCTGGCTGGGGCTGCTGGCCCAGCACTGGGTGACAATGGCACAGCTCTGGGTGACAATGCCACACGTGGCCCGGCCGGGCAGCTGAGCCGGGCGGGAACATCTCATGGACATCCAACCTCTCCCTGCAGAGCTGGAGCTTTGGAGCTGGCTCTGAAAGGCTGGTTTTCCTCCTGGTTTCTCGGTCATCATGAACTCCCAAGCCTGGGATCGGGATGGGATCAAAACCTCCACGTTCCTACTGGTTTTTTTTGAAGAAACTCATGGAAAATATTCCCAGAATCCAATGAGCTCTTCACAGCATCACTTAGGTTGAGAAAGACCTCTAGGACACCAAGTCCAGCCTAACATTTGTTGCTGTCTGTCTTATCTCTGTGAAGAAATGTTCTTTCCAAGTACTACACCCCTGCTCACGTCATCACTTACTCACTGGACACGGCCCTTTGTCACCTCCCCCTGCACTAATTCCGGTGTCTCCTTAACCTGCTTCAGAACCCACAGTAAATAACACACAGCCAGTGTCCCCCACACCTCCTGATCCTCTTGGAGAGGGCAGGAATTCGCAGCAAGGAAGCAGTAGCCTGGAAGGGATGAGCTCAAGGGACCAGCAGGAGCTTGGAGCAGCCGGTGGTGCCCAAAGGTGCTTCTCCCGAGGTGTCCAACGGCACAAAGACCCACCCCCAGGGCCCCCCGCACAGAAAATCCCTGGAGTTTATAAACTGAACCAGCAAAACTCAAAAAATCCTTGTTCTGGTGTGATTAGAGGTGTTTCATCCCCAACCCTCAGGTGTAAGGAGGATGGAGAGCTGGTGGATCCCCACACTGAGGTGCTGGTGGTCACCAGCCACCATCTCCACGCTGTTTTAGGACAATATTTTCCTGTTTTGGCACCCAGCCCTAGAGTATGAGAGAGAGAAAACTGATCCTGAATAGCTCTGTTATTTAATTTAATGAAGTCTGGGCTACCCCAGCTGTGTTTTGGTGCCCTGTGTTGCTTGTTTTGCTTGGAAATCTCGGATGCAATATTTATTTTTCTACGTTGAGTAAGGTCTGAAGTGTTTAAAAGATTCTTAATGCTGATATTGCCAGGAAAAAAAAATGGGTGTTTTGCAAGTCAGTGAGCCTGTAATATATAAATTATCAGAAATATATATATATAAATATATAAAGAATCAACTTTGTTTGCAAAGTCAGTAATAAAAGCAGGGTGTCATGGACTTGCTTAACTAAAGTTAAATCAAACTGTTTTATAATTAATTTTTTTACACCATTACAGTCATAAATTGTCCTTTTATGAGCTAATCTTTTGCTGCTCAGGCTCCAAGGTAACTTGAGCTCAAGTTCCAGCATGTTTTTGCCCTGAAGTGCTTTTTCTGGGGGAGTAACAGTGAAATGCAGATGAAGGAAGGCAAAGTTGGAATCCAAAGGCTGTGTCAAGGGATCCTGGAGAGTCCCAAAAAGTAGAATCTATGTGTGGGATACCTTGAAAAAATGAGGAATCTGAAGATCTGGGCATGCAAAGGGTTGTCCTGGGTTTTGTGGCCTTGGGACTTGTGCTCCTGGGAGGTTTCTTGGAAGCAGAGGAGGAGGATCAGGAGCAGCACTTGCTTCCCACAGACCTTCAGGTGATTTCTCTGGGGAAAGAAAGGCTGAAAACCTCAGTGTGTTGTTATTAAAAAATGTATCTATATATATATATATATATATATACATAAAAACTTACATATACACCACTGGAAATCTTACCTTCCAACACTGTTTATTTTCAATTTTTTTTAATATAAAACCCTTTTTGAGGGGGGTGCTGGTTGACCTCACACACAGCCCGACATTTTGGTGTCCTTTCAGTCCTTCTGTGACTTGCTCACAGATCCCCAATATCAAGAGGGTTGTTGCAATCTGTTGTTCTATGCAAGTTTAAGCTGCCTCTGGAGATTCCCAAAAAAATCAACCCTGCAGCCTCCTTGAAGCCTGTCCCCTCCTCTGTATTTAGGGAATCTAAGGAATTAAGGTACTGAGGGGCTGGGGGAGAACGAGGCAGAGGGGGTTGTGACTTCTCTGACATTAATTTAGATATTTATTATTATTTTAGCCTGCAAAACGGAAGAGTTTAAGATTCAACCGAGGTGGGCTCGAGGCTTGGGCTGTATCCTAAGTCCTCACTGTCCTCAGGGCTCACACAGGGGTTATGGTAGCTCAGCTGGGGATTTTAAGGGGATTGCATTTTAATTTTGGGGGCCTTGTAGTTTTAAATATGTGCATTTAGGGGATGGCACCTCCTGAGCTGAGCTGCTGCTTTGGACAGGGGCTCACACTTGGGTTTCTGCCTTTTCTGTGTGTTGTCCCTCAATTTATCCCAGACTGGTTTGGGTTAGAAGGGACCTTAAATCCCATCCAGTCCCACCCCTGCCATGGGCAGGGACACCTCCCACTAGCCCAGGTTGCTCCAACCTGGCCTTGGACACCTCCAGGGATCCAGGGGCAGCCACAGCTTCTCTGCCCAACCTGGGCCAGGGCCTCCCCACTCTCCCAGCCAGGAATTCCTTCCCAATATCCCATTTTTCCCTGCTCTCTGGCAGTGGGAAGCCAATCCCTGTGTCCTGTCCCTCCATCCCATTCCATCCCCAGTCCCTCTCCAGCTCTTCTGGAGCCCCTTTAGGCCCTGGAAGGAGCTCTCAGGTCTCCCTGGAGCCTTCTCTTCTCCAGGTGAACCCCCCCAGCTCTCCCAGTCTGCCTTCACACAAGACACATATTTTGCAGTTTGTTTGTTATTTAAAACCCTTCCCTGTGGTTCCTCTGGGCTAAATCTGTGGAACCACACGGGCTGAGCTGCAGGAATGGCTGGATTTCTTGATGAAATGTTGGATTTTGGGACCACTCCCACCTCCTGCAGGGTGTGGTGCCTGCAGTGAGGCGAGGTGGGCTCGGTGCTGGCTGGGGGGCACTCCCAGGTGGGATCTCTGTGACCAGAGACATTTTTGGGTTCTCTACCCACAAATTCTGGGATGCCACTGATCCAACTTAGTTATTGGTGTCGTAGAGAGATTAAACCAAACCATTACTTCAACTCCCTCTGGAACCAGTGGAGGACAAAGTGGCATTTCAGGGGTTGATTTGTTATTTGTGAAGGTGGAGGGTTAAATTCCCTCAGCTCAGGCACATGATGGATGTGGATAATACACCCCACTGAAGGTGTCCAGCTCCCAGACATGTTAAGCCAAGACTAATGCTTTGCAAAACCTGTTTTAGGAGCCACTCCTGAGCACGTCACCAGCTTTGCTCCCACCAGGATGTTGCTGCAGATGGAGAAAATCCCAGTTTTTGTGCTGTGCTGGTGCCTCTCCCTCCCCACTGGGCCACCATCCTGCTCTTCCAAAGGGACCTCAGCCCTGCCCAGCTCAGATGCTCCCTCCTGGTCTGAGGATTTTGGACAATGAGCTTAAAAAAAAAGGAAATTAAGGTGACTGAGCCCACCCAGCACCAGCAGCTCCCTGTGCCTGCTCTGCCCACCGAGCTTTTGAGGGCTTTGAAACCACACAAATGCTGAGCTGCACCATATTTATTGTTTAGGTTCTCTCTCTGTGCTGTTGCTTTGAAATGTCTAATTTTTTTAACTCTTGTAAATGCTGTACATTTGTATAAATAAATGTTTTAAATATGCACACGACGTGTGCGGTGGTGTCTGATCAAATTGTCCTCACCAGTCCTGATCTTCCATGAGGTGCCACCTCTTGTCCTGTGTCCCTTTTCCTTTCTCTTCCTTTGTCCTACCAGCAAAAAACCCCAAAAGTCGAGCTGTATTTAGAGAATTTTTGGAGCTCTATTTAAGGAATTTTGTTTTAACTCTCCCTGTAGTTAATGAATCTTTCCCATGGTTCCTCCCCTGTTGAGCTCCCGTGGTTATTGGGTACAAATTGTTTCATGTTGGACATTATTATTTAATAAAATAAGTCTGAGGAGGTTCCTGTTTAATCTGTGACCCCTGGATCTTGCTTTCCCTGCTCTGGGAAAACATGTTCTCCATAATTGTGCTGTCACACTAATTTAGTCCCAGCGTGTTCTGGGGGTTTTCGTGGCTTTACTTCTCATTTCCACTCCTGAAACCAACAATTCCTTGGATGGAAACAACTTCCTGGAGCTGATGGAAAGGTTTCTAAATTATTTGTGGATAATGCTAAGTCAGAGGCAGCTCACAGTGTTTCTGCACAGCCCCAATTCCCACAGCTTTAAGTGGAATAAATGCAATTTATGGTAGCACAGATAACTACAGAATATGGATTTAGAGCTCCTGAAATTCCCAATAATCCCAAAATAAGCTTCTCTGGTGGTTTGGTGTTCAGTGCACCTTTGGATTACAAACACTCTGTTATCCCTTTTTAACCTACCCAAGGCAGCCAAAGTGATGCTGAACCTCCCAGTTATTAATCCCTGATATTTAAATTTTTTGGGATCCAAACCAACTTCTCCATTTTCAGCCAAAACCCAGCCCAGCCCCACAAACCCCAAGTTGAAATAACTGGCTGGGCAAAGCTTTTAAAAGCATTTTTATCTTCACCAGGTTCTAGACATGTAACATTCACACCTTTCATTGAGTGCAGCTCAACCCTACAAGCCTCAGGCTGAAAAAATTCCAGGATATCTTCAAAAAGATGGACTTTATCCACCAGAAAGGCAAACATTCCCAGCTTCCAAGGATTTCCTTGTTGGATGGCGTTGGGATATTTATCCAGAGAAAAAAAACCCAGCTAGTTTTTATCCTGGGGGTTACTGTGTAGCAGAAAACCACATTCACTACACTTTAAATTGGGGATAATAGAGCTTTTTTTCAGTTAAATTGTCATTGAGATGCTTTTTGGAACCTATTTTTTTATCATTTTATTGCTATTCAGCTCACTGAGAGTTCAGTGTTTTTAAACTCATTGATAGTTCAGTGATTTTAAACTCATTGATATTTCAGTGGTTTTTTTAAACTCCCAGATTTCCCAGATGGCCCCACAGGTTGGGCCTGACCACCTCCCCTGGCCCTTTCCAACACCAAATATTCCCTGAATCTGCACCCATTTTCCAGCATCAGAGCCGGCAGAAAACCTGACCAGTAAAAAAAAGCTGGCAGGGAGAGGAATTATTTTTAAATTGCTAAATATTATTAATAATAACACCCCCATCTATTAGTTCTGTTTGTGAAAATCCTCTTTAATAGGGGATTTCTACAATTAAATATAGATTTTTTTTCCAGCCTTTCTGTGCACCCACATAAACCCTCAACTCCTGCAAGAGCCGGACACACATGGGAGTGTCCACCTGTCTATAAGTACAATATATATTTATTTGATATATTTAATATTTATTATTATTTATATATAATTTAAATATGTATTATATATTTATATTTTATATAAATTATTTTTATATATTTATTTATATTTATATATTTATTTTGCCAGAAGAATGAGGCCAGGACATGCCTATGGAGGAGGAGGAGGAAGAGTTGCTCACAGTCTGTTGTTAAATATGCACAGGAAAAGGTTATGGATCACACAGCCCTGGATTTCTAAGAAATAATAAACTAATAATTAGTTTTCCAGCTCTGTAGGGAATGATTAAGGAGTGTTTTGTGTGGAGGGTGAGGAGCAGCAGGAGGGGAAGGGGTAGGAATGGGGGTCCCATCACCCCAAATCTGCAGCACAACCAGGAGGGTGTTGGTTTGTAGGGAAAACTCCTGGGCTAAAAAAATCACATGTTGCTCTGGATGTTTCCATAAATAACAGAATGGGGTTAAATACCTGCATTTCCTTTGATTCCTACTGGAATGCAGGAGTTACTGATGTTATTACCTGTACTTTTGTCTCTGAATTCCCAACTTCCCTGATCCCTCTCTCCTCTCTCAGACCCAAAAGTACCAAGTCAGCAACAATCCTGCCCTCTCCCCTCACTCCCTAATTTCCTTTTCCACACTTCCACACAAACCTACCTCACTCCTGCACCTCTTTTCTTATCTCACTATTCATCACCAATCTCTGTTTTTCAGCATTATGAAAAATTATGTATTTCTGGGCTTCAAACACACAACATTCCTCCCCTTAGAGGGAGCAAACTGCACAAAATAAAGAGAGAAATATCTCAAAAATCCCGCAAGAAACCGAAGGAAATTACTAAATAACCACCTCAGCATTTAGTTTCTACTCAAATTAATAAGTTACCTGGTTCAAGATGTTTCAAATTCAGTTTTTCCTGAGCTAAGCCTGGGGCTGAGCAGCAAAAGGAGCCCTGAGGGAGAGCCCAGCTGGCACAAAACCACCCAAGTGTTTGAGCCACACTTGAGTTCACTGATACCTTGAGGCTTTTTCTGCTGTCACCACATCAACTCCTCAGCAAAGACTGACAAAAATGCCACCCTGGAGTCTCCTTCTTCCTCCTCCCCCCCCTGCACAGCCCCAGATAAATCCCCTCCAAAACCTGTAGAACTTTCACAGGCTCCTCATTGCCTCAAAACCCAAACACTCTCAGGGCAATTTAAATTATTTTAGAGTAATTTAAATTATTTTCACAGCATTCAGAGCCAAAAGCATCTCACAGACACAACTTACCTGTGTGGAGGCAATAAAACTTTGATTAAGTCCTCTTGGGAGAGGCAGGATTAGTTCAGCAGCTCAATAAAAACACCCCAGCACAGTTGTTTGGTTTTTTTTTTTTGATGGAGACAAGCTGCTCAGGGCTAGGGGGAAGAAATAATTAACTAATAATTAGTAATATGGGTAGTGATTATTGAGGGTTTTATGCTGATGGGGGGGATTAGAGGAGCAGCAGGATGGGAAAGGGCAGGAATGGGGAGTCCCATCACCCCAAAGCTGCAGAACACCGAGCCCCAGTTCCCCACCTGCTGAAAACCAGTAACCACGGGGTGAGGGAGGGGTTGGTTTGGTGTTTTGCAGCTTTGCCGAGCTAAAGTTTGCTTTTTTAAGAGTTTTTTTTGTGCTTAAGTGCAGTGCTTAGGGTGGGATTGTGAGCAAACAACTCAAGACTGAGAGCTCTGGTTAAGAAGTAACCAGTTTGGAGAGTTAAACCTGTGTGTTAACAGGGCAAAGCTCAGCTTTGCATCCTTAAACCTGACCTAAGGGTATCACCCAGACCTAAGTGGTGTCACCCACCAGCTGCTGACAAAGGAAGCCCTGATTTCCCTGGAAACAAAGGGAATTATCCCGGAGCAGGATCCTCTGAAGCAGCCAACACACAAGTGATTCTTGCAGCTGGCACAGGCTGCCCTTGTTGTCCCCAGGCAGCTGCTGGGAGTGTGTGTGGATCTGGGCATGTAGCTCCTGGATTTAGGGAAAAGTCCCCCCTAAACCAGTGCCAGGCTGCACGAAATTTAGGGATTAACTGGAATTAAATCAGCCCCGA